GTGGTGATGTTGTTAGGATAGTAACTCCACTCTTTTTCAAATAGGAAGTGGTTTTGTTTGGGGAATTCGGAACGTCATTGTTGTTATCGTTAGTCACTATTTTGCATTTTGCTGAGATTTTTCTTTGTTTCCTTGTTGAAAATTTTTATTTCTTAAAAAAAATCACTTTTAGACTCTCTCTGAAGAAATGGAGTCTACGCATTTTAGGACTGATTAGCAAACAACTAAAGGTCCAGCTGTTAGCATGCTGTTAGCATGCTGTTAGCATGTTCTCCCCGATGGTGCACGGGCTTTCTCCAGGCGCGCACTGGCTAAACATGCATCTTAGTTTAAAACTCTAGGTTGCTTTAGATAAAAACTGCTGCTAAATGTAGAAAATAAACACACACCAGGTCACCCAATCAGGAAAACACAACACACTTTAGGAATAATGATTCCAAATTCTACTACCTCTAGCAAATTCACCAGTCAGTCTATCGTTGCACCCTAGCTTCATATTTTATTCCTCTTTAAGCCAATGCAAGAACACTATGAAGAGTATTGATGGATACCTGTGCTTACATTATAAAATGTGCAGCTCCAAGGAAACTACTAGAGGAGAGTCAGAAAATGAGTGGAAACACGAAGTCCAGTTCCTGCCTCACCTCGTTGTTCTGGCCCATCAACCTCTCTGCATCATCAATCTGTAGCAGCGTCTAAACACTAATTACATCATGCATGAAATCAAGTGTGAGAGGGGCCTACATCACAGAACATTCCCTCTTCAAACATAACTTCTTGGTTTCAATGAAAATGTTACAAATAAAATGATGCCGCATAAAATGTTCCAGTAACCAAAGTTAGAAAACGTGATGTTAAACTGAGGCAGGTTAGAGTTTTCCTGGCAGATGCATTTAGTCTTTTATCATCTTTAACACACACACACACACACACACACACACACACACACACACACACACACACACACACACACACACACACACACACACACACACACACACACACACGCGCACACACACACACACACACACACACACACACACACACACTCGCACACACATACACACACACACACATGCATACACACACACGCATACACGCACGCACGCACGCACACACAAACACACACTCGCACACACGCACACACATACACACACATACACACACACACATGCATACACACACACACGCACACACGCACGCACAAACAAACACACACACACATGCATACACACACATACACACACACACACTCGCACACACACACACCCAAAAGGCTGTACACTTTCATGCCTCAGATAACTTGCAAACAGAAACAGTCAAATATGTCATCCTCTTCAAAAGCAGAGTGGACACAGTCGAGTCTGCAGACACACGCGTGAAGGCTAATCTGCTCCATCCAGCTCTGGCGTGTGCCACTTTCACGTCTGGGTGGGCGGTTTGGGTCAGTCCACCTCCACGGCCAGGTTTTGTTCACACAGCCTTCTCAGGAGTGCGGTTGTGTCAGAGCATGTGGGCGGGACAAAAGACGTTCAGAGAGGTCTGTGGTGTCCACCTTACACTGGTAAACAAACATGGCCGTGAGCAGAGTTGCTTTTAGAGACTGACATGAACACACAACTCTCTGAGCAGTGTTTCTGCCATGGGCTGCTCGGACAGCAGCACACCCTCGCGTTCTCCCGTGGCTGGAGCAACAGGTCTGAGCTTTGGTCAGATATCATGTTTACCCCACTGCATCCAGACTCAATGGCTTACACATGCAGGAAGCTACCGCTAGCTGATTCCAGCCACCAATCAGAGGCTCTCCATAATAGGTAGGCAAATTTCAGCCGGCCAATCAGTCGGTAGTGGGTGTGTTGGTTCTGCTCTGCACCAGAGACCAGGTCCAACAAATACGGTCATCCGTGCACAGAAACTGCACAGATTAGCCAGATACGAACACATTTAACCTACCCAGACACGACTGGGCCGACCCAGATGTGAAAGCAATTAGTGCCTGGCCTAAGGCCTGTTGATGTCCCTCAGGGGCCACAACCAAAAGCCTTTGTTCACCTTTGCGTGAGAAACGAAACTAAAGAGAAAGCAAGATGAGATCTCAGAATCACAACATATAGAGTTAGCTGTGTTAGACCAACGCTGACAGCTAAATCGGCTCAGGGCCAACTTTTATGGTGTGGGAAAACACTTTCTTTGACATTTACCACTGAGTCATGTATCTTCAAAGACAAATTACAAGAAAAGCAAAGAAAAATAATGGAAGAAGGCCAGATCATCTGAACACAGGATAAAAAGGGATGTTTCTGTTTTCAATCCATCCTTTTTATCTTATTCAGAAACTGGAATTTAGGCCCCTTGGAAGTCACGTACAACCGCAGTCCAAACAGACAATGGCCCTCCTCATTGGGAGGGCATTTGTGTTAAAGAAGCAACCAGCATCAGCGGCCATGAGAGCAGCAAGGAGTGCCCTCGAACTGCCTGAGAAGAAAAGCATCAGTCTTACCTTCAACGGCATACTCCTCAGCTTCAGTGTCCATAGAGGATGCATGGAAAAGACAGAAAACAGAGTGACATGAGGCACTGCATTGCTGTTGACTTTAAAAACATGAGGGGAATAAACATCCTACACCAACTTCCATTAGGAACCACAGCCTAGATTCAGGGTACAGTAGCACTGTTAGCATCTGACGCTAGCCCAGATCGAACAGTCATTCATGATGGAGGACAAAATCAAAGCTCATAACGGCTTTCCAATGAGACTCAAACAAAGCTTGGTTCCAGGGAGGGTTTCAGAATCAATGTGATTATTATTCGCTCTAAAAGTGTTAACTGGTGTTTAAGCAAAGTACTCGGCTGACCAGAAATAATGAGGGGTGCTAGGAACAAAAGCATGTTAATTCCAGGCCAACTTTACTTTAAGGCAGTTATGTAAGGCACTAGTGCTCCCTGTATTGTCTCCAACTAGTCACGTTTTACTTTCATAGATTCCCAACCCCTCTCTAAGCCTAATTTATGCTTCACTGCCAACTGGAGTTGCGCACACGCATCGGATGAGATACTTTCTCTTCAGACTTCTCCGTCACCTGGGAGTGTTGCAAAGCAATTCTCCACCAGGGTGTAGCGCTTCCTGGAGTATCCTGCCACCATTACAGTCATGTATCAGGACCAAAGATAGTGTATGCACTATTGTGTTTACATGAATAATCCATGATTATGAGTTTATGCTAGCACATGTAAAGTGAACAGTCGTGGCCCTAGTATTGAGCAGTGAGGAACTTCATGATTGATTCTGATGTGTGACGTAATCATCAGATGACTGGTAGAAACTGTAAAACAACTCTGCACTTATTTTTTTAAATATCATAACTGAAATATGGGAACAATATCAATGTTACTAAATATTGCCATAAACCATGGCTCACTCTCCCTACATTAACCGTAGCTTGTGTTTTTGTGTCTCTGTCAGTGAGAATTGCATTTGGTGCCGTTCCAAAGGCTGAACTCATGAACACAGTTTGAACCCTATTCTTACAGACGCTCTTTCATCATCATCCCCTGGTGTGGATTACTTCCTGCTGGCTAAAGTGGCGGGACGTTAACTCCGTTGATCACAGCAACTATCAGAGGGCTAACATTAAACCTTGCCTGAAGCATAGACGATGTATTTGAGAAGCTTTGATGATCCCAGACTCAAAGGTCTTGTAAATACATGAAGACCTACAAAGAACAACCACGGTGGTCGGCCTGATATACGTTAGCAGTTGTTTACAAACTCACTGACCATCCCACTCTGGTAATCGCCCGCCCTCCTTCTTTTCAATGTGAGCTGAAGTAACATCTCTTCTAATGAACCGGAGCAAATGAAAGTGGGAGCACAGAGACAGTGTTCAACCATTACTGTGATGTTTGATCTCCACTAATTGCACTGCGACGTAACCACGGTCTGCTTTCCTGGTACATCCTGCTTCTCGGAACATCAAATACACTGCTTGGCCCCAAAACAATAATATAGGCCCACACACTAATGTTTCGTTGGACGGCCTTTAGCTTTGATTACGGCATGCATTCACTGTGGCATTGTTTCAATAAGCTGCTGACATGTCTCAAGATTCCCATCCAGTGTTGCACTCATTTTTCAGCAGGATCACCCAGATTTTCACTGGGGAATCCTAGCATTGTCATCTTGGAATATGCCTGTGCCATCAGGGAACTGAAGGTCCATTGATGGAATACCCTGGTCATTCAGTATATTCAGGTTGTCATCTGACCGCATGGATGCATTAGAGGATGTTGCCGTAGTCGGGGTTCAAAATGGATTAAAGACAGGACAAGATGTATGACCAATCAAATACAACATTATAATGCTGGGAACATGTAGAGATTCTTTATTATACACTCTCACCAGCCTCTCACTCTTCTTTTTGTCCTCAAATTGCATCGGACTGATGCTTTTAGATATAAAATGTCCAAAATTGTCTACTGGTGGTGGTGGTGGGGGCGGCGAGGGGGGGGGGCATGCCCCCCAACCCCCCCTGTAGTAATACTCATCATCTTTTTCATGTCTGCTCTTTGGTGCTGGTGAACACCTCCTCTACCCGCCTGCCCCCCCCCACCCACCCACACACACACACACACACACCCGCACACACACACACACACACACGGCTAATGCACGGCACCGGAACGCTTACGTTTGTCATCACTCATCCAAAAAGCTTCTGCCTGAACCATAATCAGAATTAACTTCGGCATAGGAAAGGAGGTAACATGTCCTAGGTTAAACAAGAAACTTACAGCTCCAGTTGTTTACTTTTTTGAACATAAGACTGACATTTCCTAAGTGACATAAATTATACACAAATATATATGTTCATATCATTCTGTTACAGCCCTTGCTAATAGGAGAACAAGTGCCCATCCTGCAGGCAGTCCAATGTTGCTGTGCCAGTGCAACCGGCTGATTGGCTGCTCGGGGTGACCCTTCCTGCGACCCTCAGCCTCGTCACTGCTCTGCTTGTTTACAGCCTGCAGTTGCACTCAGTGGCTGCAGCATAAAAGCCTGATCGTAGAGATCACCTCTGGGGAGCTCCTACCTGTGTGGCGTTTTAGTGAGGCCTTGTGCAGGCTGATTTTTGGGGTGACAGTGGCACAGGAGTCAGGAGTTCACCCTGTAATCGGAAGGTTGCAGGTTCAAGCCTCGCTCAGTCTGTCGCTGTCATTGTGTCCTTGGGCAAGACACTTAATCCGCCTTGCCTGCTGGTGGTGGGACTGGTGGTGCCAGCGCTCGCTGGCTTCGCCTCTGTCAGAGCACCTCAGAGCAGCTGTGGCTACATTGTAGCTCATCTCCACCAGTGTGTGAATGGGTGAATGACTGATTGTGCTGTAAAGTGCCTTGGGGGGGTTCTATAACTCCTAAAACTCCTACCATGAGTCCAGACCACGTCTTCATGATGTGCGAGTCATAAACGAATCGTTCAATATTCGAGAATCACTTTACTGACCCGCAAATTACGATTTACAACCACAGCTGACTCATTTACTGACTCATGTGTGTCACTGTTAGCAAACTGATTTCACTACTAGAAACATATCTGGCTCATAATTAAAACTGTTGCAAAACACAGCAGTGAGTTTGTTACCAAAAGCATTTTCTTACCCGCTCTGGGCTGGAAGCTCATTAGTTCACATTAGTTCACATCTGTTTGCTAACAGCGTGTTTGAGTCACTCACCCCTCCCCACCTCAGAGCTAGCTAGCGGTGCTAATCGTAGCATGAACGACTCACTAACCCCTCCCTCGCAGGTTTCAGCTCGTGAGTCACTCAGTGGAAGCTGGCGGTAGTACATGACTCACTAACATGGCTGTCAGCAGCTCATGTCAGCTCACACTACTCTCAGTATTAATCACCCACTCCTCCCACCCAGGCTTCAGTTCATAGGAGCCACCCAGTGGAAGCTTGCAGTACTACATGACTCATTCACCCACATGTGAGTGGTAGGATTTACGTGGAAAGTGGAGCAAATGAAGTTTAAGTGTTTATGTAGATTATGTTGCACTCTGAGCAACTGACTCAGTGACTCAAATGAATCAAAAAACTTGATTTGTTTTCATTAAAAAGAATCAAGTTTACCATCACTAATGAGCCAAGCCGTAGCACATGGGGGCTTGTCTGGGCAATTTGCAGGCTGAGCGGTTTGCAGGTGCTTACTTGTAATTGGTGGAGACCAGATTTAAAGCATTCTGATTGGGTGCCAGGGAAGAGCTCATGTTTTAAGAGGGACGTCACATCGTGCAGCTGATGTTCCATCCTTCACTCACTGCAACCAGCCACCACTTTGTGCTGCGCGCCCTGTGTGTTCTTGTGTGCACCCTACTAAAATAATGTTAGACTGATGATTTGTAAGCGTGAATTTAGAAGCCAGTTTTCTGTCTTTTCTTTCTCCTAGTTAGGGAGGTACATTTATTTTCTTGTGGTTTATTTATTTTCATAGGTTAGTTCATTAATAATGGAACAGCAATTTTTGTTTGTTATTTGAGGCATTAGGGTCACCTTGTGTTACATCATCTTTTTCTTTATTTAAACCATTAGAAATAAATTGTAAATAAGTGACTGGAAATAGAATTTTAATTGTGCTTGATTGGGATCTTCTGAAAACGGGTCATTCTTCAGGTTATGGCTCGGCCCCCCATCACATCAAATATTTAGGAACACATTTTTCACAGTGTTTCAGACAATTCCAAAAAGTGACCCTCTTTTAGTAAAATTTTCATTCATATTTTATCCCAAGCAACTGGGATGAGGATCAGCACCTCCAAATCTGAGACCATGGTTCTCGACCGGAAAAGGGTGGCTTGCCAACTCCGGGTCGGGGGAGAGGTCCTACCTCAAGTGGAGGAGTTTAAGTATCTCAGGGTCTTGTTCACGAGTGAGGGTAGGAGGGATCGGGAGATCGACAGGCGGATTGGTTCGGCGTCTGCAGTGATGCGGACGCTGAGCCGATCTGTCGTGGTGAAGAGGGAGCTGAGCCAGAAAGCCAGGCTCTCGATTTACCGGTCGATCTACGTCCCAATCCTCACCTATGGTCATGAGCTTTGGGTAAGGACCGAAAGAACGAGATCGCGGTTACAAGCGGCCGAAATGAGTTTCCTCCGTAGGGTGGCCGGGCTCAGCCTTAGAGATAGGGTGAGGAGCTCGGACATCCGGGAGGGGCTCGGAGTAGACCCGCTGCTCCTCTGGATCGAAAGGAGTCAGTTGAGGTGGCTCGGGCATCTGGTCAGGATGCCTCCTGGACGCCTCCCTTGGGAGGTGTTTCGGGCATGTCCTGCCGGCAGGAGACCCCCGGGTCGACCCAGGACACGTTGGAGAGGTCACATCTCCAATCTGGTCCGGGAACGCCTTGGGGTCCTGCTGGAGGAACTGGTGGACAAGGCCGGGGAGAGGACGGTCTGGAGCTCCCTAGTTGGGATGCTGCCCCCGCGACCCCGGACCCGGATAAGCGGAGGAAGACGACGACGATTTTTATCC